AGATGTCTATTTGCATTTACATACAGGCGATGTATTTTATGAAAACTGTTAAGTAATCAACTTGGCTTAGTATAATGACGTCATAATTGAAAAGAAAAAGATATTCCACATTTTTAATTATGCGCAGCTTAATACGATGATATGTTAACAAACCGGATATACACGGTGTGTTACACAAGGAATAGGTCATTTTTGCATATTATTAAATGGATTATATTATGAATTTTGCTTTTTCCTTATGAATTTTAAGCAAAATTAAGCCACGTTTTCCTTAATTTTCGTAATTTTTGCATATTTTTATGTATACTCTCATAAAATAATTAATATTTTATATAAATTTTTAGTTATTAAAAAAGTTTGTGTGAATAATGTAATCTTTACTATAGTATAAAATTTACCAATACAAAACAACACAAAAGAAAAAAAAAGCATGTACCTAAAAATAAAAAATAAAGAAAGTAATAAAAAAAGAAACTTAAAAATTTTCTGCATATTATTGGGATTAATATTTCTCATATTGTAGAAGATAATTTTATTTTTTATACACACATAAAAAATTCTAAGGCCCTGTTACGGACCCATATATAAGGCCTACTAATTGACAAGTCCAACAAAGGGCAAACCAAGATATAAATCATATATAACTATGGAAGGATATCCATCAAAGATATCAATCCTAATACGACAGCATAACATATGGGCTTGGGCCATCATCAGAGGCGCTAAAGGTCCAGAATCCACTACCCACAGGTAAACTCTATAAATAAGAGGTAAAACCTAAGGCTACGGTACGCTCTCTATTACTGTTATATTGTTATTGTGCACACATACACCCCCCTTTGGCAAAGCCGTTTATTATTCTTCTATGCACAGTGATCCGGTTGACTCAAGATATCTCATCCATAGATACCTTGGAGAGGGCACCTAGATCCAATAGCAACATACTAGTACATTGGGGTAGACATATTTATCTCTAAGACAGAACACTGGCGCCGTCTGTGGGAATCGATAAATTCGATATTCCCACGATCACGACTGACGATGGCGGTTCGTACAAGAAGTAACAGCCAACAACCACAACTTAACAATCTTCCATTGGATCCCGTATTAGAAGAAGTCAATCTGCCTCAGAATCAACCAGAAAATGAGGTGGAATATAATGTAGTCCATGTGAGTGAGGACGTCTCGAAAACTGCCTCGACCCCAGCCCCCCGCAACTGAGTTGCGTACCCAGCTCCTCCTCCTATGAATCCTGCAGATGCAGCTTCCCAAGTTGTGCTTGCAACAGATCCTGACTCTCGCCTTGCCCAGAATGCATTCGCTGCAATCGTAAGGCAGATTTAGGATATGGAGAATCGCAACAACCTCCAACGACGAGAAGATTTCAGGAAGAAAACACAAGAAGAATGCAAGATTTGGAGCGACGCTTACTAGAGGAGAGGGGATTGGGCCTTAAAAAAGTACAGATCCGATATGATAATGATCAGAATGTGGATCATAACTCGGATACTCAAATCTGGGTTAGAGAAACTGAGATCCAGAGAAGATCAAATGCGGAAGCAGCTGTGGACCCAAACCAGGGGAATTTGGAAGATAATAATCAGAATGTGAATATGCGGCCTCCTACACATAATGCTACGACAAGAGGGAGTATGCAAAGAAATCGGGAGGAAACACGTTTTAACCAAAATACTCAACTATCAGAGGACGTGCTGAAATCAGTGTTTACAGAAGGAAACACAGTAGGGGCAATACAATAATAGCCCCTTTACTAGCGAGATACTAAATGCTCCATTCCTGGAGGAATTTGATTCGGCACATTTGCCGAAATATGACGGAAGTCAGGACCTTCAGATCCATATAGATGCATTCGACACAGACATGTACATTCCAGTGATTGATGAGCCTATCATATCCTGGATATTTGCTACAACCTTAACTGGAGCTGCGTAGACATGATTTTCGACCTTGCCTGCTAATTCCATTGGATCTTTTGAAGAATTTAGAGAAAAGTTCTTGTTGAACTTTGCAACAAGTAAGAAGCATCTGAAGTCCAAGTTCGCACTCGAAAAAATACGACAACAGCCTGGAGAGATCCTTTAAAAGTATTTGAACCGGTTTAAAGATGTCGCATTGCAGGCACCCGGTTTGCAAGAGAATGTCCATGTACATTTAATTGTAGCTGGGTTAGATGGAGCATCTCGACTGGCAAAGTCAATCTACAAAGATCCTGTAAAGACGTTAGAAGAGTTCAGAACCTGGTCAAAGAAGTATTTGGAACTCGAACAAATGGGGATAGCAAATGCACAGGGTGAAGAAAAAAAGAGGATAAGCCCAAAGAGCAGGAGCTCGGCTCCCAGAGAAAAAGAACGACCCGGCAACAAAAAGAAGGAATCCTGCGGAAGAAAATCGGATGACAGATATCGGGTTGGAAGATATGATAGATACACTCCATTGAATGTGTCACGCTCTCAAATATGGAGAGAAGTGGCAATGACCGAGATGAAGAAAGCAGACAAACCCCAGCCTATATTCGACAAAGGAGGTTTGGACAGGTCCAGATTTTGTGCTTTCCACAATAGACCTGGACATACTACTTATCAGTGTTGGGACTTCAGAGATGCTGTGGAAAAATTGTCAGAGACGGAAAGCTGCGTCAATACGTTATCAATACGTAACGATGGAAAAATAATAAGAGGAAACCCAGAGGCCATAGTAGAAGTAAGAGCCTGGCTCCCTAAAAGAAAAAGAAAGAAAATAAAAAAAAGGATGACTCCAACAATGATGAATTCCCGGAAGCCAAGTTCGACTGCAATGTGATTAGTGGAGATCTTGGTGGTGGAGGAGATACGGTAAGTGCAAGAAGAAGGTATCTTAGAGAGGTACTCTGAATCAGGGATCAACCAAGGTTCAAAGAAGATCCCAGTAAACCAGATCCTCCTCTACTCTATTCACTAGAGAGGACATGCAAGGCGTGCTTCCAGGGCATGTAGATGGTTTGGTAATCACAGAAACCCTAGTTAATTGTTGGGTTAAAAAGATCTTCATAGACGTAGGCAGCTGTGCAGATATCATCCTATGGAATGCTTTCAAAAGAATGAACCTGGATGCAGAAGATCTCAAGCCTTGTAAGACAACCCTGATAGCCTTTAATGGAGAAAATACACCCCCTAAGGGGTACAAAGATCTCAGATTGACTCTGGAAATGAAAGAAGCATTCAAATTAGAAAGAGTAAGATTCATTGCAGCTGACTTCCCCTCTCCGTATAATGTGATCCTAGGAAGACCAACCCTGTATAAGTAGGACATGCTAGTCTCCATAAAACATCAGAAGATAAAGATGATAAGCAATAAGAATGAAGTCATCACCATTCATGGGGATCAAAGAGAATCTAGGGAATGTTACTTCGAGGTTGTCAATGAAAATGAAGGTGGACACCTGAGTCCACCTCAGATTCATCTAGGAGATAAAGCCGGGAAAAAGGTAACTCCTCACCATTCAAGTAAGCCAGTTAATATGGTTGAATTGGATATGAGGGAAGAAGCTATTGTCCCAAGACTAGAACCAGATGGTGAGTTAGAAGATCTTATGTTGGGGGATGAACCCAGCCAATTCACCAAAATTGGTAAGACCATCAACCCTAATATTAAGGCGCAATTATTGAATTCGTGAGGAACAACAAAGACGTCTTGGCTTGGAAGTCATCCGAGATCCCATGCATTGATCCTAAGTTCTGCTGCCATAAGTTGGCAGTATATCCGAGATCAGCGTTAGTTGCACAAAAGAAAAGAAAGGTAGGACCAGAAAGAAGACATGTTTGGAAGAACATGTCAAAGAATTACTCGATGTCGGGTTCATAAGAGAAATCCAATACACGACCTGATTTGCTAATGTCGTCATGGTGAAGAAGGCCAGTGGAAAATGGAGGGTCTGCACAGATTATACAGACCTGAATAAGGTATGTCCAAAGGACTTTTATCTGATGCCCAACATAGACCAGTTGGCTGACAATTTAGCCGAGTTCTAGTTGTTATCCTTCATGGATGCTTATTCTAGCTATAATCAGATCCCAATGTACTCGGAAGATCAAGAAAAAATAGCCTTTATTGCTGAAAAGGCAAATTACTACTACAACGTGATACCTTTTGGGCTCAAAAATTCTGGACCCACATACCAGAGGATGATGAACAAAGTGTTCGAAGACCAACTCGGAAAAATATTGAAGTATACATAGATGACATGATTGTTAAATCGTTAGATATGACAAGTCATGTCCGGCATCTGGACCAAACATTTCAGAAGCTCAAAGCTCATCGCATCCATTTGAACCCGGTGAAATGCGCGTTTGGAATCCCGGCTGAAAAATTCGTGGGTTTCATGTTAACCCACAGGAGAATTGAAGCGAATCCATATAAATGCAAAGCAGTGTCAGACATGAAGGCTCCTAAGAATAAAAAATAGGTTCAACAACTAACAGGTAGACTGGCTACCCTAACCAGATTTTTGCCTAAGTCGGCTGAAAATGCCCTCCCATTTTTCAAATTGCTAAAGAAACAAGCGGAGCACGGATGGATCCTGGACTGCGAATCCGCGTTCAAGAAAATAAAGAAATGTTTGACAGCCCCACCAATACTCTCAAAACCAGAACCAGGAAAGATCCTGTTCTTATACTTGGCTGTTGGAGAAGAGGCAATAAGTGTCGTGCAGGTAAAAGAAACAAATAAAGACCAAGAGCCAATATACTTTGACAGTAGGGCTCTGCAAGGGCCTAAATTAAGGTATCAGAAGTTAGTGAAAGTGGCATTCGTCCTACTTATCATGGCGAGAAGACTATGACCATATTTTCAAGGACATTAGCTAATAGTCAGAACTAACCAACCCATACGACAGGTTTTGCACAAGCCGGATCTAGACTAATTGGGCCATAGAACTTTCTGAATATGATATAACTTATGAAAGTCGGCATGCCATTAAATCACAAGATTTAGCCCACTTTATAATGGAGTTCACCTCGGCAGATCAAGGGACTAAAGAACCAAAAGACCTTTGGAAAGTATACGTTGATGGGTCATCCAATGCCAAGGGAAACAGAGCCCGGATAATACTTGAAAGCCCGGAGGGAGTGTCAATAGAACACTCCCTATATTTGAACTTTCCAACTTCAAACAATCAAGCAGAATATAAAGCCCTGATAGCCGAATTGATACAAGTCAAAGAACATGGGACTAATAAAGTTAAAGTCTTTAGTGATTCCCAACTCGTAACTTCCCAAATCGATGGAAAATATCAAGCCAAAGGACCTCTGCTGATGAAGTATCTGAACAAAGTCAAAGAAATCATAACTGAGTATGAAGAAGTAAAAATCACTCATATTCCTCGAGGAAAAAATAGCAGTGCCAACATCTTGTCCAAGTTAGCAAGCACTAAGAACCCGGATAATCACAGAACTGTGGTTCAACACAGCATTACGGAGCCGAGTTATGTGAAGGTAATCACATTGGCTGATGATTGGAGGCAACTGATAATTGCTTGTCTTGAAATAGGAACAATACTAGAAGACTCGATGGAATCCAAAAATTGATCTGAGATGCAACGCATTATACAATCGTGGAAGATCAGTTATATAGAAAAAGGGTTGCATACCTCAATGCTGAAATGCCTAAACTTAGAGGAAGCTGAATATGTCATAGCCGAGATACATGAAAGAATCAATGGCCAACACATGGGAGCTAAAGCCTTAGCTAGAAAAGCTCTTCGAGCAGGATATTACTGGCCGACTATGGAAGCTGCCTCAAATGATCATGTCAAAAAGTGTAGCAACGGCCAGAAACATGCCAGGATGATGTTCTCACTTCCAGAAGAATTGAGATATATCTCCTCTCCATTTCCCTTTTACAAATGGAAATGGACCTGCTGGGACCTTTCAAAGCTGCTGAAGGACAACTTAAGTGGCTAATTGTAACCGTTGATTACTTCACCAAATAGATAGAAGCTGAACCCGCCACTACTATAACCTCAGCTTGAATTCAAAGATTTTTCCAAAGAAACATTGTTTCCAGATTTGGAATACCAGCCAAGGTGGTGACTGCGTTTACTGATAAAAGATTCCAAGAGTTAATGAAAGACTTAAAAGTTAAGCACCATTTTGCATCTGTGGAATATACTCAATCAAATGGGCAAGTCGAAGCTGCAAACAAAGTAATTATGGATGGACTCAAAAAACGAATGGAGGATGCCAAAGATAGTTGGGTTCATTAACTATACTTTGTTTTACGGGGATACAGAACAAGCACCCAAATAGAACGGGAGAAACTCCATTCAGACTTACTTATGGATGTGAGGCTATGATCCCGGTGGAAATAAGGGAACCTTCTTGGAGAAGGATGAACGCTATCAAGCAAAAAGAAGAAGAGAATAGCAAGGTTCTTGCAACCGAACTAGACCTAATAGATGAAGTCAAAGTCACGGCAGATTACCTGGATATGGCAACTAAATGGTTGATAGCAGCCAGATATAACAGAAAAGTAAGACCAAGGGCATTTGAAAAAGATGACCTGGTACTTAGAAGGGTAGATATCGGCAACAAGAATGCCAAAGATGGAAAGCTAGCTGGAAATTGGGAAGGCTCTTACCTGGTTAAAGAGAAACTCGAAAAAAGAGCGTATATCCTGGAAACGACAGAAGGAAAGCCTATCAAAAGAACATGGAATGCGGATAAACTGAAAATGTATCACAGTTAAACTTGGGATCCAGATATGGCTATTTTTAAAGTCTTTTCAATTTCTAGGCGAATTATTTTGCTTTGTAAGGATTGTTTAAAGCCGACTATATCGGTAAATTCATGTAATCAGAATCTTTGATATCAATAAATGAGAAATTTTTCTTTTCGAAATTTGTCCTTACACGATTATGATGTATCAACATAAATCCGAGATATAAGTGTGGTTTATCATGCTGACTCTGGTCAAGTCGAAATGCTGCATACTATGGTTAAAAGACCAAGGTAGGACATGTGACAATATTGTCTTTACCTTGGATAGAACCGGGTTACAAAACCTAGACCATGATTGAAGGAAACAATGCTCACCTTCATCACTAGTAACTTAACAAAACGTTAAGTTAAAATTAAAAGCGTCATGGAAAATGACAAAGAAAAATGCGAAATCCGTACGATATCTTTTGATCCCGGCCAGGTCAATGAATAGCACTCGAGATGTATATCCGGGTTGACAATATGATCTATCTCATATGGAAGAAAAATCTTGATAAGGTTTGAAATACTTAGAAGTATATCTAAGTTACAAACCTAAGCAATAAATGTTACTTGGAACGTATATCTGGGTTAACAATATGATCCATCTCAGATGGAAGGAAAATCTTGATAAGGTTTAAAATACTTAGAAGTATATCTAAGTTACAAACCTAAGCAATAAATGTTACCTGGGACGTATTTCCGGGTTAACAAAATGATCCATCTCTGATGGAAGGAAATTCTTGATAAGGTTTGAAATACTTAGAAATTTATCTAAGTTATAAACCTAAATAAAAGATACGCAAATCTTGCTTTTCAGATCAAGAAAGCACCAAATTGCTTAGGCAAAGACGTGTTGATAAATGCTAAAAAAGAAAGATCGGGTGAAATACATCAAGCGATCCGGCAATAGATAACACTTGAAATAGTTTGAAATACTTATATATATATATATATGACTTATCGTTTCTCAAGTTGCCGGAGATAATTTTATCTCTGGCTAATAAATCATAACCGTACAAAGATGAATCAATGGTAATGAAGGAAGAGAGGGAAAAGGGGAATCATAACCATTTAAAGGTGAATCTATTAATATAAGGAAATAAATAAACAAAATGACGTCGTTTTGGGGTAGCCGGAGATAAACTTATCTCAAGTTGCCGGAGAAATATTTTTCCCATATATATATATATCTAAGTTATCAGGCAGGTATGAAATATAAGAATGCAAGACATCAGTATAAAAACGAAATTATCCAAAGGCACGGAGCTGATAAAAATGCGTCAGAAATATCAAATGAAAAGGATTGGGTAGAAACCCAGCAATATTCACTACAAATTAAAAAGGGGCTCAAAAGCCCCAAGAAAAGAAAAAAATTACAAATAAAATCGGCATCCCGACCCTTCATTCTACGAGAGTCTCAACTTGTTCCATCTGAACATCACCCACTTCGACAGCATCCTGATTAGTAACCTCCTCGTCTCCTTCAACTCGGTCGCCCTCAATCTGGGTCGCCGAATCACCAACAGGGGATTCCGGAGGAGGAGGAACAATATGGCCATTGCTGACGTAAGATTTATGATGCAAGTCAGTGGTATTAAACTCGAGGTCAGGATTGAGAACCTTAATCTGATTGAGAGCATTGTTAAACGAACCCAATACTGACTTCTCCAACTCTCCTCGTTAGAACTGGGTATCGTTCTCAGCTTCCTTTAACTTACTCTCAACATGTTCATGAATAATTTTAAAATCCTTTAAGGATTGAACATTGTCGACATGCAAACATTGAAGGGAATTATGTTCCTGCTGAAGGGTTTTGAGGTGCTCTTTCACCTTTAATAGCTTAGCAACAGTCTTACCCTTCTTCTCCCGTGCTGTGCTCATCTCATTCGAAGTACGAACATACTTATTCTTTAGAGAAAGTAGAGGTTTTACCAGCGAAGCCATTTTCATGTAATTCACCTCAATTTTTTCTAGCTCCCTCACCTCAGAAGCAGTAAAGGGAGTAGAATTGAAGAAATGGTCTGGTGGACAAATGACATCATGGAAGTCGCCACTGACCTCGGACTGCCATAAAGCATTTTTCGTGACGCCAATGGTAGGAGGAGGAGGAAGGGTTTTGACTAAAATTTGAGTTGAGGCAGGGGCACCCTTATCAGTCGAGATCCCTTTGGTTTTTTCACCGGCAGCAGACTTCTTGATCTTGGGCTCATAGGTCTTCCTCTTCCCGGTTATCAAGTCGACAACCGCAGCTTTTTTACCCCGGCTTAGGGAAGCCAAAAAAACTCGGTTGCTCATTCTGCTGACCCTCTATATCTGAAACTGCAAGTAGAAGACACGAAATCAGGTTATAATCAAACATCATAAAGCAAAAATGCATAAGTGGGTAAATAAAAATCATATTCATTTCCGAATTAAGTTATTCTTGAGACTTAAAAATAAAAGAGGTGACACTGGCATGACCACGCAATTGGACATACTCGCCTATGGAAATAATCGTGTCAATATCATCATCACTCAACTCGGTTTCCTTGAAACGGTAGCTTGAAGAAGTGAAGTTATAATGATCAAGAGACCAATACAAAGGGAATTTCCCTTCGACATCCTCAGAATCAGAAGCTTTAAGGAACCAAGGTTCTCTTCCAGGTTGTGTGGAAACTTTAAAGAATTTTTCATTAAAGTTCTTGAAAGTTTCAGTACAAACATTAAAAAGTTTTCACTTGCCAACACCCTGGAGCGTGACCCAACCCTTTCTTTCCGGTGGTTCACGGCTAGTACGGGGTGTAATGTCCTGGAAAAAGAAAAAGAAGACAGAAACGGTGCAGGGTAAGGCAAGGTAGGCACAAAAACGTTCAAATGCTTTGGCAAAACCCCAACCATTAGGGTGGAGTTGGGAAGGGGCTATATGGAGGTGATTCAAAATGCAAATTTGAAAATCGGTTAAGGGGAACCGAATGTCAAGTTGAGTCATTATGTCCCGGTAGAAAAAGAAAAAGGAAGGCTCATCCGAGTTGCTCTATGAACAAACCTGTTCATCTTCATGGGGAGGAACTAAGTCAAAATTTTCCAACTTTCCTACATTAAGCCCAGACACATCCTTCACACTCATCTGGAGGTAGTATTTAAAACTTTATAAGTTACCCAAGGAAACCGGGTTATTAAGGCGGCAGGAGGAGACTCAGAATCTGACTCAGCAGAATGAGACTCCTCTACAATCTCTGGTGGAGATGACACCATAAATACCTAAAACAAGGAGAAGCATAATCAGAAGAAATAAATAAACATACCTGAATCAAAAAAGCTACTAATAAAAGAATCACTAATAGATCAAGATGTGAATTTCTCTGAGATTTCTATCGGATCATCTGCCTCACCAGAAGCCGAGGTAGATCCCGGAACATCTCTATGACGATAACTCGCCAAGGTAGACTCGCCTAGAAAGTCACACCCTTTCTCAACAAGTTTAGAACTCAGAAAAACACAAGAATAACATGGGCCAATTTGTTTAGGATTGGAGGATTAGGGGAGAACTCGGGAAGTGGATGATACATCAGAACCCAGATTAGAAGCGACATTGGAAGGATCTAACCCGATTTGCGGGAAATATTGAGGAATACGTCTATTAACAAAAGGACGACCCCTACCCCGTCTGGAAGAGCCTCGACCCCGGCCAGTAGAGTTCTCATTCAAACCACGACTTGACAACCCAGATATCTTCTTGGATCCGCCACCACGATAACCACGAAGCATGACTTCGCATTATTCCTCCTCGGTTCTCGATATATCCCCCACAACCAGAATCGAGCCCCAGGAGGAACCTTCTTTAGTAA